CCCAATGTAAAATGAAAGAAGGGACAGAAATTGAAATGAAAGATGTAAAAATAAATATATGTCTAATACAAACTGTATAGCATTGTAAAATTATATGAACAGCACGATTTTTAAGATATTGATGTTTCAATAAAAAATATGACAAACATGTAGACCAGAAATTTTGCTTAATTATCAGCATTAGTTTCATTTTTATACAAAATGAACAAAATAAAGATTAATAATAATGTTCGAATAGAATATACTATTTTAAAAATGTAGCTATTTGTATTTAACAAATAAATCTCCAACATTCATATACTTACTTTCTTAACAATACTGATCTGAAGGAAGAAGAATGAAAAAAGAAAACTGTCTACTTCAGAGATTTAATGCATAACTTTCAAAAGTTTGAAAAAAATCTACAAACTATACAATATAACATCAAACCAAAGAAAAATGCACCTAATTCTTGCTTGCCCTAGCATAAGGTGACCAACTTTTTTACAATGAGGAGGACACAAATAAATGGAAGAAAAAAATATATGAATAAATAAAATTAATTATTAAAACTGAAACAATAACATAAGCGAATAAACTTGTAAATAAAATTATACATATTTGGAAATTATTAAATAGATAATGAATTAATAAAACGTGAATTGTTGTGCTCACTTGTGTATGATTGAATATTCACTGAGAAAGGAGTCTAATGCGTGCATGTGTGCCGTGTCGTGTTTCGTTAGAAGTAAACAAAGCCACTTGCACGCGGCGCACTCCCTCAAAACAATTCTCCTGTGTAGAGCGCATGCATCTCATAATCGCGTCTCACCACACTGTACCAAGCCTTGACGAATCGTCATGTCAAATACAAATACGTCACATCACACGGATCGGCCTCGATCGAATAGTCTTCAGATTAGTCTTCAAATATCGAAAAGGAGGTCATGTAGGAGGACACTTTTCGAAAGAGGACAGAACTTACAAAAGAAGGACTGTCCTCCCTAAAGGAGGACAATTGGTCACCTTACCTAGCAGCCAGCTACAAACAGCAAAGAAAACACTGACCATACCTAGAAAAATATTCTCATTTTAATTATGGCCATGATCTTTCATCTGCTACTCCTTACAGTAATTTTAGATATACAGTTTGGCAAATTAATCAGATAGTAGACCCAACTACTTGAAATGTTTTTGCCATCTCACCCCAACATCTCTTATACAGGCACCCTATTGGAAAGGTAGTCTAACACCACTGCTCCTTTAAATATTACCTCAGCGTCACTGAACTACAAAAAGTCTGGCAAAATCTTTTGAAAGTAACAGAATAAACAAAATAATCACTATTTCAACATTAAAAAGGAGGAAGGCAAGCATCTCATCAGCCAGATGGGTAATATTCTTCCCACACTATGAACTGATAACTTCCTATAGTCCATAACAATCATATCCATAACTTACAGTAATATAATAATGCTGATGTACGATTTTGAGTGGCAAAAGCCAGCAGCAGAATAGCTAAACTTTTGGATACTTATTCTTCTGGCTCTGGTCTTAAAAGCCCTATCTTTATGAGAAAAAAAAATCTTTGCTTTCATTCCCAGGACCTATCAATCAGTCATCAGCATAAAGTATTCTTCAGTCCCACTCCACATAGAGATTATACTTGTTTGAAGAAACACATAGACTATACTTGCTTTATTTATTCAATTTTCATACAACATATTTTCCAGCCTTCACATGTACGGTGTGAACAGTGTGATTTGAATGGCAGAGTGGAAGGGAAATTAGTGATAGACTGATGAAAATTAAGCATAAATTGCAGAAATTAGATAGTTCTCCTCCTGCACTAAGGATAGCAGTCTATATAATTTCTGACCATTAAAAAAAAACCAATGTTCCCCCTACTGTATTCCTACTGTACTTTGATCAGATATCAGAGGAGCCGTGGTGGTGCAGTGGTTAGAATGCAGTACTGCAGGCTACTTCTGCTGATTGCCCACTGCCAGCAGTTCGGCAGTTCAACCCTGATCGGCTCAAGGCTGACTCAACCTTCCATCCTTCCGAAGTTGGTAAAATGAGGACTCAGATTGTTGGGGACAGTAGGCTGACTCTGTAAACTGCTTAGGTGCTATAAAGCACTATGAAGTGGTATATCAGTCTAAGTGCTATTGCTATTTTTAGGTTACATAATAATATACCACAAAAATCCTAGAATAAATGTTATAAGGAAGATGATATTATACTACTAAGCATTTATTTTACTTCTATAGCAGTGGTGCAGGTCTTGACATCTGCTCAAAATTTGTACAATTTGCAGAAATCATTTGACATACTGCAAAAACAAAGTAGCTAAATCACACACAGCACAAATCTCTTTATTTTAAACAAATATTATATACCTTTTCTGGAAATCTGAACACTGATTACCCTTCAAAATAATCCTGCATTTGTATAATACAATGTGCAATTTGGAGGACTTCCTCCAAATGACCCCGTCTTTAATAGGATAGAGAAACAAGCAACAAGTACTTTTAAAAACATGTACTATCATACTTAATTATTGCAAAAAAAAAATAACTTGGGGATACTCTAAGAATTTCACATCACTATGTTTTTTCTAACATACCCCCCTTTCTCCCCAGTCACCCCATTTGCATTAGAGTGAAATAAAAACCCTCAGGAGACACAATTTAAGAATAATCATTTTCTACTCATTTCCATGATGCTTATAATTTCCATATTGGTCATCTGTATTACTGGACATAGTATAAAGTAATAAGAATAAGCTCATACAATTCTGCATTTGTACGACATGTTGGTAGGAGGAACCATATAAAGCATTCCTCATTTTAGGCTAAAGGTTGCCAGCAATATTGCATAAACACGGTAGAAATTATTCAGAATAATGTATTTTACTTTTTATTCTGGCTTTATTACTTTGTAAATAACTCAAGGCAGAAAGCATACCTAATACTCCTTTCTCTTTTATTTTACCATAGCATCAACCCCGTGAGGTGAATTGGGCACACAGAGAATGACTGGTCCAAAGTTACCCAGCTGGCTTTCATGCCTAGCGCAGAATTAGAACGCACAATCTCCTGGTTTCTAGGCCAGCACCTTAACCACTACACCAAACTGCCTCTCAAGGGCTGGATCCAGTTTTATTTGTAGAACTGAGTGGTTAAAGCAGTCTTCCTTGCTCCCTCCCTGATTGCCCTCTATTCCTGTGAAAACATGACCGTGGAATAAAATACACTTTAAATTGAGTAGATTAACAACATGAGGAAACGAAATTTTCTGAAAATAAGATGGAGGAACTTTCTGTGTGCAGCTTTCACTAATGGAAAGAAATGTTCGGCTTGCTTCACTGAGGAGTCAGAATGTTCATATGTTGCTGGATTGCTTAGGAAAGAAAACCCTAAACCAGGGGTAGGCAATCGTGGCTCTTTTATGACTCGTGGACTTCAACTCCCAGAATTCCTGAGCTAGCATTCCTGGCTGGCTCAGGAATTCTGAGAGTTGAAGTCCACGAGTCATAAAAGAGCCAAGATTGCCTACCCCTGCCCTAAACACTTGTTATTCCAACCCAAGTAAGAAAAATGACACAGGTTTGCTATAAATACAAAATCAAAATGAGAATTTCCTTGTGATTAAATGTGAATAATCTAAATATGTGCTTGACATGTCTTTTGGCTATGAAATATAACCCTTTCATGCTAACATGATTTATCTTTCACCATGAAAGAAAAAAAGTTGTGAAAATATAGCTAATTATATCAGTATCTATACATATACATGCATGCAATTATATCAATATCTATACATACACATTTATATACACACAAACCCACCCACCCAGACATACACACACATGTATATAAATGTGAAACACTTTAATATCCTGCCCTGTGTATTCAGTTATTTGTGATATCAAATAAACAATGAATAAACTACAATTTTTAGTGTAAAAATTAATATTAAAAAATCTGTGACACTACTTTCTTTCACTTTGCTTTACACTTGTTTCAGTTGGATTTGATTTTTCCCGGTAATACCAAGAAAACTTTTAAAATAGTAATGAATAGCAGAATTAACTGGTATCATGATTCTTATTTACTTTTTTTATTTTAATGTATTAAATTTGTTTGCCATCCATCTTGCTTCTGTTGGAGCGCTTAAATAAAACACAGATAGGTCCCAGAAACTGTCCTTTGGCCAAATGGCCCCTCACCAATGCTGTTGATTTATGGACGCGTCCTTTGCAGGTCCAGCAAAAGGCCTGTGGGTCCACCTCTCCAGCCAGGGGGGCAATGGCCCAGAAACTCCACCAGGCCAAGGATGCAGTCACTCCAAGACTCTGCCTTGGGCTAGAATTGTCATCCCTCCCATGGTAGCTAGAATCCAATTTCCAACTTAGAATATAGCAGCTATTCTTCCTCAGATCAAGTCTCCGCCCATGAGTCCAGCACCCTCACCTAGCAATCTTTTTTTCCTCTCCCCAATGGGTCCTTTTACAACTTTTTTCCTCCAACCCCCTTCTCCCAAGGCTGCCCCTTCCTTCCTTCCTTCCTTCCTTCCGTCCTTCCTTCCTTCTTCTGAGCTGCTGGAGTCTGAAATCCTACATCCCAGCACTCTGCTATAATTGCCTCTGCTGAAGATTACATCTCCCAGAAGTCTACCTCAGTGTCCCTTCCTGTTCAAATTCCAAGGTGAGGCTCCAGCCAGCCAGTCAATCAATGGATGCTGACTAACTTGCCTGTCTTCTTATCTGTGTCAAAATACCAGAGCAGCTCAGGAAGAATAAGAGCAAGTCAACAATAGTTGTATGTCTTTGTGGGATTTATAGGATGAAAGAAAAAAGAGCTGCTGGTGGAAAAAAGCTGTGATATTAGGTCAGTTCAATTGTATAGATTTAAACAGGTTCATTTAGTAATTTAAACTGAACAAACCATACAATGTTTGACAATAAAATGCTATGTATCACACAGAATAGACAACAAGTCTATTCATTGGCTTACCTGAGAAGAATATGTGTGACCATCGGATCCACAAACTGGATTGGTATAAACAACAGGACACAGCTTGCATTTTGATGAAAAGGAACCAATTCTCCATTGTTTATGGCTTAAACCAGCTTCTTTCATACTGAAAGAAATCAAATCAGGTAAGAAAGGTATGAAAAGGTGAACAGAGAAGTATAATCTATATTCTTAGTAATTAAATCATGTCTAATGAATTTTACATGACCTGTGTTCAAACATAATACTAAGCTAGAAGTGTTAAACCACAGTTTGCTGGATAGGTCACAGTCATTGTTTATAATTAATGCAATGATTAGCCATTTTTATGTTATCTATTGAGGATTACAGAAGAGTGAACACAAGTCACATGGTGGAGCAAGAGTAAATGAAGCCAGATCCAAATCTTGATGGAAATGCCATACTTTTCTGTCTTTTAAACAACAGTTTTAGGAAACAAACAATATTAAAGATATCAATTCATATCTTGGAAAAATGTTTATGAAACTAGTTTAATAACTACATGAAATTAGGCTAATGATGGGTTTATCCACTACGTTAAATTCAAAATAATAAATTGCACTGTAGCTTACTATTATTTAAGAACTATACCACTTTCTTCATTAATTTAAACTAATATTTACATCTTATATTAATATTTTGGCTATTGCAGAGAAATATTTACAACTCCATAAAGGATAAGAAAGATCAATCATTGTCAGGACTGAGTAATATTAAACAGGTTCAACATCTTGCATAACCACAGCGATTGTGGCTTGTAAATATGTTTATTTATTTATTTATTTATTTAATTTAATTTATATGCCGCCCTTCTCCCGACAGGGACTCAGGGCGGCGCACAACATATTTAAAACCAGAACATATATACATATATATATATGGCTTAGTATGTTGTTCCAGTTTGATAAAAAAACACAGACCTTGGCCTAATTTGTCAACTAAGTCTATATGTCTTGATATTCTAGCAAAACTATTTACATTTGAGGATGCTGGAACACCTCTAAGAAAGAGATGATCTTTACTAATGATCTACTGTTCATACTCAGAGAAAGGCTATGCAAATTCAGATTAGAAAGCGAAATATATGAATCATTATGAAAGCTACCAATATAAACCAACTTAACAGAGAATAAAATTATTACTGTAGAGTAAGCATTCTAATCAATAAATTAAGAATGAGCCATCTATTGGAATATTATGTTAAATGTAAGTTCTTAGCTTAACTGGTAATATTTCTCCACTTCTTTTTCTTTTTTTAAAGAACAAATTACAAAATGAAATCAATTTCAAATCATGGTTTAAAATTATCTTACGCATTTAATAGTTAATTAATCTAAGAAGTATTGAATCTCAAAGAATAAAAAAGCAATCAAAGAAAGAAGGACAAAGTATGTATTCCTATGGCTTGCATATATCTGAGCTTCTTAAGACAAAATATGCTATGTCCGATCTGCGCTGATGATTCATGATTATTCTTTCTTAATTCTATGACCAATTTGTTTTATGAAACCAGTAGGCAGTAATAGCAGAATTAACTCATTTTATGTCCAGCCTAAATGCCTGTATTTCTTCTTTTCACAAATAATTAAAGTAATGATGGCAACTTTTGTTTCAGTATATAGAGTTCTTCTCCTTCTCTTTTAACTAAGCACATGGGAAAAAACAGAATATTTCAGATAAAACATATATTACAATGAATTTTAAAAACATATATTTAAATATCTTTTTAATAAATACACTTTTCCCCACTTTTTCCATGCCTTCTATGTTAGCTTACAGCTGTCAGGATTATATTCCTTTAATAATTATATTTCTATATCACCAGTAATCAGAGCTCTCTCAGTAATTCACAAACCCTTTAGAGAGAATAATCAAACAATGTTTGGGTAAGTTATTTCTATTTTTATCCAAAATTACAAGCCCATTTATATTCATGAGTGAATACAAGTGAAAACACTGGTACACATACTGATTATTTCAAGATATATATCAATTAGTAAGTAAGTTATTTGTTTCCTAGACTCACTAGTTCTGGAGAAACAAGAATAGAAGTACTGACTGAGAGATAGCTCTGGAGGGTTTGCTACTTATTTTTGTTCTTGCTGCTGTTATCGATAATAGAGAACTCCAAGGGGTAGGTAGAAGAGATAAAAGATATAAGAAAGTAGTAATTCATTTAGAATATTCTCTTAAAATCACTAAACCATAGTTTTAGTTTACCAAACCATTAAGAACCTAATTCTATTCAATAATATTTCATGACAGTGAACTCCATAGAGCCACCGCTGCGTAGAAATTGTATTGCTAGAACCATAACATATAGAGTACAACATAATTCAAAATTCAGATATTCTTGACTGATAGAATATCATGAAGACAGAATGACAAAAATACAAAATCAAGAGGACAAAAAAGTCTAGAAGAATTAAACTTGCTTAATTGTAAATATTATCTATGATTGCACTGACAAGGTTTATTGACTCCAATATTGTCAATGTACCTTCTTCACATTCAAAAGGAAAATGTATGAACAATAAAAGAGACACCCGTGTGATCCCCAATATCAGGAGCCATTGCAGAAACAGTCCTGCATGAATCAGAACACCGTGATTTCAAAACTACACACGTAAATTCTGGTGCCATATTTGTCATCATCAAAAGAAATGTACTGAAAGACTTTCATACCATACTGAATTTCATCTTTTTGGACATAGAGTTCACAATGGAGGAAGAAACAGCTATATAATTACCATTTTTAGATGTGCTTGTCAACAGACAAGAAGATGTAAGCCTAGAAACCACAGTTTATCACAAGGCCATCAACTCTCCACACATTCTGAATGTCAACAGTAACCATCCAGTGTCACACAAAAAGAGTTGCATCAGAACACTAAATGGCAGGGAAAGAACCCACTATTGTACACAGCAAGTTAACAACTGGAGAGTGGCTACCTACGTGAACAATTCAGGCAGAATGGGTACCCACAAGCATTTGTTACAATACGGTGCAGAGAAAGGAAGAAACAAAGTACAAGACTAACCACATGGCATGCCCTACCATACATCAAAAACATTTTGGAAGCAACAGAATGCAGCTTCCAAGATTTGCAAGTGGGCATTGCGCACCGCCCAGAGGTTACCATATGAGGACAAATTATGCATTGTAAAGATCAGTGGAAGGTGGGAGATTCTTCCGCTGTAATCTACCGGATCCCCTGCATGGATTGCCCCTGTAGGATAGATGGGGAGGAAGCTAACCACCAGACTGCAAAAACAAAAGAGACTGCTTAGATGAGGAGACCCAAACTCATTGGTAGCTTTCACACTGCAATGAACAAGGATATACAGTACATTCAATTATGCAGCTATTAAGTTTTGAGTGAAGTCTGGGAATCAGGTCCCTTGTCAGTCAACAGGAGTGCTCATTTACTACCAGCTTACCTAGTACTTAGGAGGTGAAGGTGTGAAAGAAAAAATATCTTAATAATTCTTTCTGTATTTCTTTGATAGTCAATTAAAATAAAGACCGGTTTCTGCTGAGAAATACTTAGTAAAAAGAAGAACTGTGACCGCTGCAGAAGATGGTGAAAGATTGTGGTTGGCACACATTTTCACAGGAACAGATAGCATAGGGATTGAGGAACTGAGCCCTGTTCACGGGTGTAATGACACGAGTAGAAATGGTAGTGAGGAAAGTAGTGGTTAGAGCAAGGACAAGGAAGAACAGGAAACTGGCTCGATAACTAGGACAATGGAATAAGAATAAGGAACTAACAACTAACACAGTGGTCAGTTCCAGAAATAGGGAGCTGACCCAGAGGTCAATCCCGAGAAAGGGTTGGCCTTTTTTTTGCTGAGGTAGCATGTTACTCCTCTTTTGCTGCGGTCAGTTCTACTGATGCAGAGGGAATGGACCTCTTCCATCCATAAGGACTGGCTATGTTGGCAGGGCTCAAATTCCTTCTACTGCCCCTGGACAATTGTCTCTCGGTTGCCCATGTGAGAGATAATAATAATGATGATGATGATGATGATGATGATGATGATGATAATAATAATAATAATAATAATAATAATAATAATAATAATATAAAAAATGGGGGAACAAAGACAGAAAAAAAAACAAATGGGAGAAGACAAAAAAACCTGAACCAACTACATAAGAACATTGTAGGCCCTCAACCATGCCCTCAACCATGCAGTATGCCTTGAGATTGATTGATGGATGCACGGTTGAGAGAAAATGAAGTGTAACTACCAGCATTTTAGCCTGAATTGGACAAGGTAGTCCCCTGTCCACTCACATCTTTATAACCTTTCTTTAACTTTTTTTCTGCTATTTTGATTTAATTCGTTATCTTTTCGTTCTATAATGGGATGTTCCCAGCCTAAGAGGGGGAGATTCCTAAAAAAGGTACCCTGGCATGGTATGTGTGTGTGTGTGTGTGTGTGTGTATTCATAAAGGATCTAGATTCTGTCAATACTTGCAGCGATGGCATGTGTTTACCTCACAAGAACCAAGGTGTCAGTTTTCCTTTGCTGGAACTTTTGACAGAAACAAATTTAATTTTTGTGAAGTTGTCTTGGATGCTGTTCATGTCTCTTCAAACTGGGCAATTGGTCTGCTTTTGCGGTTTGATATACAGAAATGGAAAAGCGATGCAGGGAACAGCATTTGCAATCCTTCAAACGTACCAAGGAAAAACTGGAAAGATCACTGATTGACCTTAAGGCCTCTATTGCAGCTGTTCAGGTTGCCCTAATGTCCATAAGAATGACTCTCCCAACAGACTGGACTCTCTCCACATTAGATATTAGTGAGCAAACCCATACGGATGCCAGCCTCTCCTCTGACATTCCTGTATCTGAAAGACATTCATATGTTGGCCCTGTTATGTTGACCTCTTGCCAAGCTTTTCTCACATCTTTTAAAGACTGTCATTCACAGATTGTAGCAGCTATAACCAAGAAACCAGTACAAGGAAACAAGAGCCAGCCATCAATACCCCAATCAACAGCTGAAAAGCCACATACAACCAGGCACCATATAAATAACACACACAGAATAACCCAAAACACACGCTCTACTAGAAAGAAGTTCCTTG